TCCTTGGAATAGGACAGCCTGAGGTAAGACTTCAAGCTATCTCAAGTTTTTTACAACCTACTAACATAGGAAAGTAGGGATTTAAGATGCTTTAAACAGGGATGAAATTAGTTTGAACAAGGCTTCTTCAGGTCAGCTCTTTGCCTTTTTAAGCACTTTCCTTACATCAAATTTGCTACAGCTATTTAATTCAGAGCTGACATATTACTTAGAAAAAACAGTATAAATGAAGACAGGTTGTACATTTCAATCATTCTTAGCATGAAATTTCACTATATTTCACATATTTGTTATGATATATGATCATTTAAAATTTCACATATTTGTTATGATATATGATCATTTAAAATAGTTGAGGTTGAACATTTGAGAACAAAAGTGGTGCAATATTTTATTGATAATGGTTGCTCCTACAATATGATCTGTATCAGTTGCTTCTTAACTTTTTGTGTAGAAGCCACTGTAATGGAAGGATATTTGAAAAGCTCTTGAAGTCTATTATAGTCTCCTGGACCAGCTGAATGTGCATCAGGGGAATCTCTACACATAACAGAACTGTCTCAACATTATTGTTATTGTTGTTATTTATTATAGCATTTCTTCTGCTGAGATAAGCTGCTTTCAAAAGCTGAATTTATCTGTTGATGCCAATTTGTAGAATGAAAACAGCAAAATATATGCTTCATTCATTCTGCAACTATTAATTCTACAGTAAATGGCATGCCTTTTAAAGCTATTTTTGTGTCTGAATATTTGCATAGTAATTCTCAATCTCTTTCATTTCTTCCAAAGGAACTAAGCAAAGCCAAAAATCATTTTAATAAAATAATTGAGCAATATCCAAAAGTGAGATTCAATTGCTTAGCACATTATGGAATTGGAAAAGTATATTTGAGACAAAATAGGTGAGTAGTACCATGATAGTGGTATAGTCAATAGTTAGCACCTGATGGGTTGGAGCTGATTCACATGATTGATTAGCAAACACTTGCCACCAAATTTTATTTTTATTTAACAAATGCATAGCCCACTCAAGGCAACATAAACACCCCTCCCTCCTCCAATTGTTTTCTGTCTTCATTAGCCCCTGGAAAGAGTCAGGTTCTCTGTATGCATAAAAGTAAACAGGGACTGCAGAATGCTTGGAACTTCCTGGCAAAAAGCAGTCTGAAGAAGGCCTGGCAGTTCATTCAGCCTGATGCACTGAGTACTTTTTTGCTCCTCCTTGCTTCTTTTCTCTCCAAGGAAAGGGTGTGCTATCCTCCTGACATCTTATGAAAAACTGGGAACAGGAGAATCAATCCATAGTCTCTTGTGGATTGGCCAGAGAGCTGACAGCTGAACAGTCACAGTTCTCACATTCCAGAGGCCTGTCCTGTAAAGGGACTGGAAAAGTGTTTAGATTGCACTGAAACTTTACTTTCCAAGGGAGGTGGAATCTGTATTTGCCTTCTTTATGAGTAATTTTTCTGAATTTGTACAACACACTAAATCACAATCCAGCCAACCATGATTTAGCTAGGAAGTTGGGTGAACCCAGCCTACCTCATTAATTTATGCATTGTGCAAATCCAGAAAATAGTGTTAGGTGAGTAAAGTATGGTTAAATATACATTAGTCACTGTTTTAAGGGGGAAGGGAGAAGAAATAACATGTTTGTTATAATTGTTTAAATAAACTATGAGTCTTTTTATGTACACTGTAGATTTTCTGAAGCTCTAGACCAATTCATGAAATCAAAAACCATGGTTAATCTTAAGATTGTGCCTGGAGTACTAACATGGCCTACAACTTCAGAAGTTATCAAAGAGACAAGGTCAGAGAGATTACAAGTAAGTCACAATGCTGTTTTGTACTTTTTATCGAGCCATTATAAGCCATCTCACATGGTGCCTCTCCAGAATATATTTTTCATCATGACAATTGCATCAAAACAGAAGAGCTTTTATTCTTGTTAAGTGGAGGCACAGATAATTTTATCCATCCATTTCAAGAGGCAGGACTTGTAGAAACTGCTTCTACCTGTATTGCCTCTGCTGGATAAGCAGGTTGCTTCAGCCATTGAGTTTGCAAATCTCACATGTGCCCTTAAACATTTCTCTTTGCTCTCTTGCTTCCTGTCAAAATAAACCTGCCAAAATTGTGCCTAGGTATAAACAATGTACTGCTGCATTATACATGTAGGTGGGAGCTGATGCTCTCTAGGCAAGGCTAATCAAACAACAATAATAATAAATACCACGATGTTGATGCTGATGCGGAGTAATCAGTGCAGGTGGAGAGGAGACAGTAGGGTGGGTAGAGAGGAGATTGTTCCCTCAGGACTGAAAATGGGGAGAATAGTTACAGGAGCTACAGTATCTGTCTCTGCACAGGGAGGTGTTTTCCACATGACAGACATTTGGATAAGTTTCCTGTGTGGCTGCTTCTCCTTTCACCTCCCCCAGTGACTTATCCCAAATTTCTCCTCTGATGTTTATAAATAGTGCTTAAGCTCTAAGGAGAAAAAGGTGGCTTTACTTTCTTTATGTGAGACTCACATTATAACATTTCCTCTTCTAGACCTTTCACAGTAAGCAATTTTGACCAAGCAAGTGAACTTTCAGTAGGACCCTTTTCTATCAGTGATCAGATCCCCATTCATGATAGTACTCTTAGTACCAAGGAATGATAGTAATTGGTGCGTGTTGTATTCTTATGCCCTGGATTTAGTTAATTCTCCTTTTGTTGAGTGTTAAACCTGTTAAGTGCTGCTCCTACCTTCAAGAAGACTGAATTCTCACTTTTGAAATCAAGACATATTATGTTTAAAGCATTCTAGCAATTCCCAGTGAAAAGTGATATAAAGGTACAGAACTGCCAAGCCAAGGATTGCAGCATAGGGTACTTTCTCTCAGGTTATATTCAGCAGGAGGAGAGCTCTGGAGTAGAAGCGTTTGGGAGATACAGGACTTAGGGAGGCTCAGAATCCTAGCCTTGGAATACTTTTCCCTGTCAGGGAGACTGAATTAGGATGTTTTTAGTGCAAGAGGTAGGCTAGTAGTGACAGGATATAGACAAAGGATTTTACGAGGCAGTGCATCTAGCCCTGAAGATTTAAGATCTTTTAAGGCAATAGATATTCCCTGACTGTGGTTATCATCCTTTAATCATCCTTCCTCCTTCTCTACTTCATAGTCTGGTGGAGCCATCCTTTTTGTGCCAAATAAGTAGTTTTGTCTTTTCTTTGTTATCTATTAGCATTTCTTTGTTATCTATTAGCATTCTGCTAATCTTCAAGCCTGGGCATATTTGTCCAGGTGCAGGAAATAAACCCAAACTATTTAGTTGAATAGTTAAAATAACCCCTTGAAATAAACCCGAACTATTTAGCTGCTTAATGGTTAAAAAAAGATCAGCATTTTAAATTGGGCTCAGAGGGTACTCTTACATATTGTAAGATTTCCTATGCATAATAAATTTGTACTTACTAGCTTAGGAACTTGATGGTTATGTTGAGAATTATAAAAAATTTTTGATGCTTTAAATGTCTTTCACCTAATTTGGTTAATAGCTTCACTGAGAAAATGCTGCTTAAAATATCCATGTTACTGCTGTAGTACAGAAGGAATTTTACATTGTTTTGATACAGCTGAAAACCTTGAGTCTGTCTTAACTGACAGTATAATTACAAGTAGAAGAAATCAGACACACTGATTTTCTAACTGGTGAAAAAAGGCCCTCCATACTGAAAACTGAAATTAAGATACAGTGGAACCTCGAGTTACGAATTTAATCCGTTCCGTGACTCTGGTTGCAACTCGAATTGGTCGCAACACGAGGCAAATTTTCCCATAAGG